CAAAACAACTTTTTTTATTTAAAAAAGTTATATTCATAGCATACAGAGGGAAATCACACATCAAGGTATTTTATTTTTACTTTTTCTCTTGACCAGGAAGTCACTGTCAACATTTTGCCACAGATAATTATTTGCCATGAAAGACTCTTCTTTACATTCTAGCACTTTCTAGTAGCAGCCCTGGACTCACTAGATGCTCCATCAGTTTCAACACTTAAAAAATACTGCCTATATAGACACTTGCTCCCTGGGAGACAAATGGAGACCTGATTGACAGATAATAGACATCCTTAAATGTAAGTACCATAGAGACAGATTTTTAAGAACTATTTTGTTTAGTTAGGCACAGTTGCATATACTTGTAATTGCAGCACATTTGAGGTGGGGGCAGAAAGAGGTACAGTTCAAATCTAGCTATGTAGCAACCTTGAGGCCAGCCTGGGATATATGATGTGCTGTTTTAAAACAATTTATGGAAGCGTGTTTGTTTTACTGCTGTATTTCCAATCCCTAACAGCAAATGACCTGGAATACGTTAGTTGCTATTTATAATTACAGAGATAAGAACTAACCCCTTTAACACACACACATGTACACTTGCATGCACACACATGAACACACACACACATACACACAGAGATACAGGCACACAGATCATATTTGCTCTACCTCTAACTTCTCCTAGACCCATTCACTTCTCCCAACTTAAAATTTAAAATTTAAAAAATAGCCCATTGCTCTGTGATGATGGCACATGCCTTTAATCCTAGCTCTCAGGAAGCAGAAACAGGTGGATCTCTGTGAGTTCAAGGCCAGCCTGGTGTACAGAGTGAGTTCCAGGACAGCCAGACCTACAGAGAGAAACCCTGTGTTGGGGAGAAAAAAAAAGCCCATCAGTGGACTTGTTTGTGCTGACAATATACTCATGGGTCCGTGACCTTCCACTGGAACATGTCCAGGACACCAGGGTTCACCCTTAAAGAAAACTGACTCTTCTTTCCCCAGAAGATAACTGACAGTAGCTTATCAGCTAGGGTTCAGAGCTCAGGAGTCCTTCAACCCTTCCATGCTGCAATGATGACTGGCTTTAAGTCTTGTGCAGGCATCAACGGCTGCTGTGAGTACATGAGGGCAAGAATCCTGTCATATACAGAAGACACTGTTGCAAGCTGATAACCCTGACTTCTCACTTTAACAATTGTCCTGGCCCCTCTCCTAAGATGTCTCTCCAGTCTAGGATTGGGTGTGTTAGTATTTATTGTCAGCTTGCCACAATTTAGAATCACCTGGGAAGATAGAACCTCAACTGACTAATTACCCAGACCAGACTGGTTTGTGGCCATGTGTGTAAAATAGTCTTGATTGAGGATTGATGTGGGAGGGCTCAGTCCATTGAAAGGAGTCCCATCTTTAAGTTGATGGCACTGGACTGTATCAGAAAGCTAGCAAACTACGAGTGAGCTGGAGAGCAAGTAAGTAACATTCCTCCAATGCTTTCTGCCATATTTCCTATTTGAATTCCAGCCCTGACTTTCTCCAATGGAATTTAAGCTGGAAGTATATGCTTAAGAATCCTTTCCTTCCCCATCCTCCTATTGGTTATGTTTTGTCACAACAGAAAGCAAGTTAGATATGCAATATAGATGTTCCACTTATGGCTGGATTACTAAGATCTTTATTTATTTATTTTTGATAACTCTCTTATGGTCCATTTGTGGGAACCCAAAAATGTGAGCCTATTCCACCTTGTCTAAATGTTAGAGAATTTTAACTTAAATTGATCTCTCAAAGTTGTTGACAACAGGTGGCTGTGAGATATTCAGACCTAGGGTGTAGTTATTTGGTGTTTTGAACATCAAGCTGGCCCATAGAAGTAGATCTTCTCCACCCTCACCAAAGATCAGAGAATTCAAGCATACTTCTGCTCTTTCTTTTGAAATAGGAGGTTTGACTTAAGGAGTGGCTGCCTGCAGGATACTTGATCTAGGGTGTCTTCACTGCCCAAATATCAAATACTTTTCTCAGGAATTAATGGCTTGATGTCGCAAGAATTGAAATAAGTAACTGTATTGTTGTTCTTTGTGTCATGTTAAGGCAGTCTTTTTGTCTTCTCCCCCTTTAGTATTGGGATATAAAAGTATATGAAAAATAAAAGCAGGGGAACTCAGAACTTGGAACTGAGAATATAACATTCAGTATGAAGAGTTTCCTCCCAGTACTATCCTGTCTCTGTATTTCTTTCTTATTTCAGTTCCTCATACTTAACATTTTTTTCTTCTTTTCTTCTTTTTTTTTTAATTTTTTAAAATTTTTTTGTAATTTTATTAAATTATAAAAGTTTCCATTTCCGCCCCGCCTCCCACCACCCTCCCACTCCCCCCACTCCCTCTCCTCCTCCCTCTCCATCCCTAAGAGCAGTCAGGGTTTCCTGCCCAGTGGGAAGTTCAAGTTCCTCCCCCCTCCCTCCAGGTCCAGGAAGGTGAGTGTCCAGACGGACTGGATCCACAAAATCCAGTATATGCAGAGGAAACAAGTCCCAGTGCCATTGTCAATGGCTTTTCAGAAAGACTCTGGCCAGCCACATTCCTTTTCTTTTTTCTTTTTTTTTTTTTTGGCTTTTCGAGATAGGTTTCTCTGCAGCTTTGGGGTCTCTCCCAGAACTAGCTCTGTAGACCAGATTGGCCTCAAACTCACAGAGATCCACCTGCCTCTGCATCCTGAGTGCTGGGATTAAGGTGTGCTCCACCATCACCCGGCTACACTTAACATTTCTAATCCTCACACTCCTACCCTGGAATGTATGAACCTGCTGTGGCTAGGATCACGGCAGTTGTAATGGTCTACCCTGTCCCTTTAGGAGACAAGCCCTGCCCACTGCCCCCACCCCCCAATCTGCATGTGGATCTTCCTTCTGCTTCCAGTCTGAGCTCCTTCCTTCTTTTCCATCTCTCTCCCAAAGAGGTAGCTTCTAATCTCCTTTCCCCCCTCCCCTCTCTTTCTGTCTCTCTCCATTCCTCTTCTCCCTTCCTCTCCCCTTTCCCCTTCCCTTACATAACCCACTAAATAAATATCCAACCTCACTCTTCAAGGCATGCCTATCTGTCTCTGTCTCTCATCCACCATAGCATCTCATGCTGACCTGCCGAGGTCTCTCACCCACCATTTGGTTCCCTGACTGGGATGCACTGTGCCTTGTGGCCCACTGCCTGTTGCCATTACCCAGGGAACAGCACTGTTTTATTTCTACTATTACCGAAGTCCCCCCAAAAAGGTGGCTCCCAACATCCAGTGACTTAATTTATTCATTGATCATTAGGTTCCTCATTAATATCAATATTGTCAGGAATATCTTAGTAAAACAGGCATTGTTTCTTTTGCCGTTTTCACTTAGTGTCAAAGTTTCAATGAGTCACACAGAGTAAGAACATTTTTCAATTCTTAGAAATATACTGGTAAGTGAAGTTTGCCAATTTATAGCACAAGAGTCACTTCAGTGCAGTGCTCTTACTACAGCCTTTCAGCATTGCACAAAATTATTTTAAGATTCTAATAGGAATAAAATTGTGCCCTTTCTATAACATGGGTTGACATTACAATTGCAATATGTGAGTATGTGTAAATATTTTGCATTTTATGCTTTTTCAAATTTCTACAATGACCCATGTATTAATTTTGCACCAGAATAAATACTCTTGTGCTGGAGATGCAGCTCACTTGGTAAAGTGCTAAACTAACATGCACAAAACACTAAGCTTGGTTGCCAGCATCACATAAAACAGAGTTTACAGCACACACCCGTAACTCCAGCACTTGGAAGATGGTACAAAGCAGACCAAAAGTTCAAAATTATCCTGGGCTACATGGCAAGCAGGAGACCAGTCTGGAATACCTGAGATCCTGTCTCAAGAAATAAAAATACTTAAAAATCTTTCACAATAAAAACAATTTAATATAATTTTTGAAAAAGAGGACATGCTCTCTAAAAATTATTTGTCATATGAATAGTCTTAGCGCAGGGCATGGTGGTGCATTCCTTGTACCTAGAAGGCAGAGGTAGAAGGATTGGCACAAATTTGAGGCCAACCTGATTTCTGCACATTATCTTTCTCTGTAATAAGAACTAGGTCTTTGTAATAAACTTAGAACCAATGGTTTAGACATCAAATGAACACTCTTGTTTTTCAGCACAATATTATGAATAATTATGGGTCATTACTGTTAATCTAAGAAATAGTGCCAAAGTATAGTGTTCATTTTCTTCTTTCTCCACTCTGCATTTAATTGTGCATATAGAAATAACTACTAAATGTGAGGACCAGAGTTGTGACATTATTTTTAAAAGAACTAGTTCCTTATTTACTTTTGTTGTCACTGGTAAAAATACACAGATAAAAGCAACTTAGGGAAGAAAAAAAATGTATTTTATCTCATGGTTTGAGATCACAGTCAGGCATGGTGATGGAATCACACATAGCAATAGGAACTTGAGGCAGCTATGGATGCTTGTGTTCGGCTCATTTTCTAATTTCCACACAGTAAAATCACAGTCCAGAGAATGGTCTTCCAGTCACAGTGGGCTGGTCTTCCTACCTCAATTAACATAAACATGATATTCCTCCCAGGCATACCCAGAGGCCCTCTTTCAGTTGATACTACACCTCATCAAAATGACAAATGAAATTAACAATCACACCAGCCTTTTGCAGAAATACCACATAATTACAGTACCACTTTGCAAAATACATAACTATAAGCTTAGCTGGACATGGGGGCTGAGGTCCAAGTCACACTTTGATGACTCATCGTGTCAGGACCATTATTATTTCGGACTCCAAGTATCAATGGTCAGGAAAAGAACCACATTTATATTCAAATATTATTTGAGCTGGGGAGATAGCAGAGTACTAGATCACTGCCTACTATGCTTAAGGCCCTGGGTTCTTTTTTTACAAATTACATTTTTAGTTGTATATGCATAAATAAACAAACAAACAAACAAATAATGGTCACACACTTTTATTGTTTTTCATGTGTTTACAAAGATGATAAACTTAGAATTCTGACAAAAGAGTAAGTTTCCTTTTATGCTACAGTATGGTTCTACAAAATGTAAACGTATAAAAGTCTACTATTTTAATAATAACATAGCTAAAGTCACTCACAGGAACTGGCTTTTGTGGATAGAGCTTTCTTACCAGTTATATAGGTTTCACAGCTTAAGGACTACAGTAAATCACACTTTTCTCTAACGTGAAAAAACCATGTATTTCTAAAAATAGCTGTTTTCCTAAAATAACCCCACTTAAGCCAGCTTTCTTCTTGCTCATCTCCTTGTTCTTTTATGCAAGCAGTGCTAAACAATTTTTCTTCCAACTGTTTAATATCAACCCAATCCTGACATCAAAACCTACCTAAGAAAGTGCTTTAATAAGAACACTCCTAAGTCCAAGATTCTAAGAATATATTTATGCTCCTAAGTCTGGTTCAGTGCTATTAGCAGAAATCCTTGATAGGAAATGACAGTTCAGTCGTCATCTCTTCTGAGTCCAAGGTTCATATTGTTCATTCTGGCACGTCTCAAATTCCTCACTATGGTGAATCTAGTGTGGAGTGACAGATTAGTCTGTAAAAAAGACAAAAAGCTTTAAGTTTGGGAGCTTAGCACTTTAACAAAATACTCTTGAATTTGGTTATAGGTTATTAAAAATAGAGTAGGGAGTCATTTGTGGTGGCACACACCTGTAATTCCCTGGGAGGTGGAGGCAGGAAGGCCAGGAATTTAAGGTCATCCTCAGCTACAATAATACTGAGTTATAAGTCAGCCTGGCTACCTGTGACCTTTAGTAAAAATTCCAAAGACAGACAGACAGACACACAGAGACAGAGAGAGAGAGAGAGAGAGAGAGAGAGAGAGAGAGAGAGAGAGAGAGAGA